ATTCCGATTTCGGAATCTTGGTCTTACCTTCAATATATGTCCATCTATTTTCAATCCCGTCAAGTACCAAGTCAATCGGAATGTTAGTAAAGAGTGAAGTTACATCCAATGAAATCAATGTAGTATTATTGGTAGTATTCAAGTTAGAAATTTTTTTGGCTAAAGTAAAACTATTAATTATAGAACTATCTGCAGATGGTAGGTTTTCCTTAATTATTTTATGAAGAAAAATAGATAAATTATGCAGAGGACTACCAAGTGAAGAAACTATAATTCTCAATGGATTATCTATCTTATGTATCTTAGTGAGGCCATAACACCGAGGTAGTACAGATATAGAACAGTTGAGTCTGTTATATGTGCTAGTAGAAATGTATTCTTGTTGTTTCCAATCCTTTAACAAAGAATTCAATTCCCTGATTATTTTGTTTACTGCAGGATTACGTGTAACAGTTTCATAGGTGTCAGAGAGTAATAACTCCATATTATCAATATAATTTTGTTTATCAAGTGCAACTGTTACATTGCCCTTGTCCGCACGAGAGAACAAAATATCAGTATTATTCTTAAAAAAGATCTTTGTAGATTTATATAAAGATACAATTGTTTTTTCAATATAATTCAACTGTAAATTTGTATTTTTTATGTTCTTAATAAAATGAAATAATTTATTTCTAATAAAACCAACTTTGGGTAATCCAATACTACATAAACTATGTTCAATGTGTTTGACAAAGTCAATGGAAGTAGTCAACTTGTTATAATTTGGAAGACAAAAATTCTCACCCAATTGTAACAATATTTGTACATTATCAGGTATAATGTGATTACTAAGATTCTTAAACCAATGATCATTTTTTTCCTGTAAATCATATGTGATATTTTTATATTTATTAATTTCTAAAAATGTATTAATGATCGATTGATTATTAACAATAGGTTTATTAAAAGAAAACTTCTGCGCATAATTAACAATGTAATCGTTATTCTCTGTCTCCCTGTAACTGTTATAAAAATAATTAATATCACCAACTCTATCCAGTTTGTACTTAAAATTATGATAAATTAATAGATTTAGTTTCTTCTTTAATCTTTTAGATTCAATATAAAAAAATTTTTTAAAAGAAAGTGACTGAGATTTAATAAAATTATTAAAGATATTATTAGGAAGTAAGTTAGTGATGTTATAATTAATCTTATATAATTTTCGTTGTAAATAATTATGATATCTATAAGCATCTTTAATTTCACATTTTAACAAAAATCGAACATGTTTAGAAGTGAAATTGTTAGTTTTAGTCTTAATATGTTGAC